CCTTTACCAAACTATTGACTCTGTTTTCATGATTCTCTTGCATCGCTCTCCTTTCTTTTGCCAATTTTTCTTCTACCTCTTTTGATTTTTTAAATCCTTTCTAGGAGTTCTTTGCTGGCCTGAGACCAGTTTACACTCTTCTCTGAGGCTCTGCATGTAGGCATTTTGACGTCGTCGTCCTCTGCTGAGTTTGTGTTTTGCTCTTCCCTGCCACCACAGTATTCTATGGTCAGTACTCTATTCTTTGTTTTTGCTTGTTTTTCTATCCTATTTTGTGACTTTTAAAGATGGGCGCTGCTTCTGGGGTGGAGGGAGCGCTGTCCCGGGCTTCTTGTGTCAGGAGTGCTGGGCCTCGCACACAGCTGACCTGCTCCACTGGGGAGCTGGCTTCCTGCACAGAGGCCATAGGGCCTGCCGTACCAAGACTAAGCGCCTGTCTCACTGTGGTGCAGCCGGCTGCTGGCTTTCCCGGATGCCACCTGCACTGGACTGCACACCCCTTCTACTCAGGTGAGACAGACATTTCCTGCCAAGCTGAGGAACACTGCTTCACCCCAATCTTCTTTTGGCTCCGTTGCTCCAGAATGTTTTGTGGTGTTCTTTCACAGTTGTCTGGAGGCGAATTTGGGAGAGTTCAGCTGGGCTGCTACCTCACTCTGCCATCTTCCTGACTATTTTTGTTGAAAAATAGTTTTCTTCAACAAGTTAATGGACCTCAGGCTAGGGGCCTTTACTGTTCTCTGGATGTACCTCCTTCCTGTTTGTAAGGGGATTAGGCTAACTGATTTAAGCCTCACCCCATTTAAAATGAGATCACTAATCACTCAAGAAATTTAACCAAATGTAGGAAAAAAAACCAACCCCTGAAAACAGTCTCATGTCCAGATGATGACACAGAGTTGCCTGGACATGCCACAGGCCTTAGGACGGACAAAGACAGCCACAGAGAACGGGAAGGGAAGAGCAGAGACGGTGTGGTCAAACTCAACAATGTGTGCCTAGTTTTGAATGGGCAGCCTTTAGGAAACGTCTCTGAATGGCCAAGCACAAGTCTTTGCCCAGAGAGGTCACCTGGCTACCCAACATGCAACTGCACATTCCCCAAAGCACGGATGTGGAAACACGCCCAGGAAATGAGAAGCACATGACGGGCAGGAACACGTCGCCCTGAAGGAATTACGCAGGTCACAGGACACGGGTGAAGGACAATGGAGAGGGAGTCACGGTTCCCACGGCCACCATCTTCCCTCCCCCCCACCACGGTAGGTGGACCTTGGCACTGTCCAGAGCAATCTGCAGAGCCGCCATCTTTCAAATACTTCCCTGGATTCTACCATCCCGCTTATTCATCCATCTGCTCACGGCCCCATCCCCCTGCCTCCCACCTTCTAACTCCTCCTTCCACTCACAGCCTCACCCTTTTGAGGGGCTCCCTCCCTCCAGGAATCCCGTGTGAGGCCTTCCAGTGTGGCCACAACCTCCCTCTTAAGGATCTCCCCTCCCCCTTCTCACTGGTCCGCCTCCGACACGCCACGCCAGAGAGTGGGGGTCACCCTGTCCCCTCCTCCCCCAGGGCGTCTCATCTACTCGGTGATCTCTAGTCCTCACCAAGGCCTGAATGGACGCTGGAGGCAGAGGGTTATTTACTCCTTCCCAGCCCTTCTTGGTTGAAAGCCCTCATGAATGGCGGCCAATGCTGCTTCTGGCCACCACTCTCTTACCTGCTCTTCCCATCCGAACGCCGGCAATGGCCTACTCTCGATTCTGGCCACACTCCTCGCAGGAATCACCTTTGTGTGTCCGTGGAGCACCAGGGCACAAGAGGCCAGTGAGCCACCAGCCCCATCGCCCCACGCCCAGAGTCAGCGGCTGCCACGCAGCATCTCTTCTCCTGACACTCGCTGATGGTTTCTCGTCCGCCAGGACCTACACATTCAAAGCTCCCTATGCTCCAGAAAGAACCCCATGTCTTGTTAATTTTCAAATGAAACCTGTCTTCAAACTTTAATGCGCTATATCCCTGTTCCTGTCGGAACAGCATGCATTTAGATAACACCTACTGTGTGCCAGGCACCGTGCTAAAAGCTTTATAATTAAGATTCCATCAGGGGCTCGCAGGAATGCCCATTTGACAGATGAGGAAACTGAAGCAGATAGTGCTGAAGGGACTTGCCCAGGGTCACCCACTACTAATTTGAGGCCCATGCTCTGTGCTGCGCCTTAACTCCTCCAACTTTACCATTTTTTACAGGAGAGAGCACTATTTGGCTGTGGCAGAAAAACAAACATGGTATGCTGAAAAGGCAGGGTTGCACAGGGGTTAGAGCTTCACTTGGAGTCAGAAGAGCTGGAAACCTGAGCCTCAGTTTCCCCTTCCATAGAATGGGTTTTATAGTGCCACACTCACAAGGTGAGTTTACAAATTACACTCCAAGGCACTACCTAAAGTGCCCTTCCTGTTACTTCCTAGGGGATACAGATCTGTCATCTCCCTGGTCAAACACAGCGGCCCTCCCTCCACTGGTTACACTCTAAGAAAGTTTCCTCAGTGCACAGAGAGGCCGATCAAGCCACCTGCCCCGGGTGACCCAGCCCTTCCTGGCGCTAAGTGGTCAGAGTCCAGAGCCAGGTCTACCCACTCTGCCACACTGCCCCTCCAGCCTCTGGAAAAGGAGAGCTCCTCCCCCAGCTTGTCCGGCTGCTGATGCTGTGGGAGCGGCTGGGACCAACAGCGTGGGGGAGATGGCCGTGTGCCTGACCCCTCAGCATTGATTCCCCGCCCCCAGCCTCTGTCCCCTTCAGTATCTTTCCAGGAGCTCGCTGCGTGTCCCCACCCCACGTTCAATCTCTGATTTCCTCCCAATTCCTTCCTCCCCAGGAACACTCCAGAGACAGGGAAGCACAAAGATCAGCCCATCACTGGTTACTTTCCATTAAACAAGTGTCTTGGAGAAGAAAATGTCCCTGTGGGATGCTTCTCTCACTTCATAAGAACAAAAAGGCAAATTTCAGAATCCAAAGCCTTGTCTACAAGCTGGTGGTGGGTCTCCAGGGAGGTGCAGAGACCCACCTGCCAGAGCCTATAGTGTTGGGGGGAGACACAAGGGGGTAAAGAGGGACACGATTTAGTTTTGAGGCTAGACCTGGGATTTAGTCGGGAGAGGAAAAAGCCGGCGAGGCAGAGGAGCGCCTGGCCTGAGACTCAGGCTGGCAGGACGGTGCTGGTTCTGGGGCACACAGCTGTTCCGGCCCCGACAAGGCTGGCCTTCTGTCCCCCACCCCACGGGGCCACCTCAGGTCACTCACTGCAATCACGGCTGTCTCATGGGAACGCTATGACTCAACACATATCAATACAGAAGAGAGTTAACGGGACAGAAAGGATGAGGGGCAGAAGAGGCGACGGAGAAAGCTCATCCCTGAATGGGAAGCCATCAGAGAAGGGTTCGGATTTGCAGAGAATCCGCAGTACGGAACAGAAGATGAGCAAAGCCATGGGGGCAGGGGACCGGAGGGGCTGGTGACGTGTGCGGACACAAGGCACTGCACGTGAGAGTGGCTGCGGCGGGAGGCACTGAGGCCAAAGCTAGGGACTCTGCTCTGGACTGGGGGTCGGCTCCTGAGAAGAGAAGCAAGCCCCAGCGCGTGGCTGTGCTGACGTGGGCTCTGGGGCCCACGGGTCACACACGCTCAGACAAAGTCGTGACGCGGACTCGTGGCCTGCTGACGCCTCCTCATGGGAATCCCTTCCACGATCAGACAAGCCCTGAACCTGAGGACCCCCCTCACTCTCAGAGGTGAGGCCTTTTCACACGGCTAGATTTCAATACCCAAATCACAGCTAACAGGGGGCTCCCAAGCTTCCCCAGAGCCCCCTCAGTCCCTGGGTGGTGGCTACGGACGCTGGCGCCACTCCTTCACAGAAGCCCTGATTTTGTTTTGTTCTGTTTTGACTAGGCAGTGGGGTTAAGTGACTCGCCCAGGGTCACACAGCTAGTAAGTGTTATGTGTCTGAGGCCACATTTGAACTCAGGTCCTCCTGAATCCAGGGCCGGTGCTCTATCCACTGCGCCACCTAGCTGCCCCAGAAGCCTCGATTTTAAGGGACCACCTCGAACCCTGGCTAGGGAAAGCCATCAGGGCTGCCTAGGCAAAAGTGGGGCTCTTCCCAGACGCCCCCGCTCTGGAACACAGGCGTCAAACTGATGCTGCTGGAATGCCCACCCAACGCAATCACAGGGGCTCACTGCAGAGCGAAGGCTGACCCAGGGAAAGCAGGAAGGCCACCAAGTCAGAACCGCCAAGAAAGACCCGTGGAGCTGTGCCCTGCGCAGTTCAGAGGGTTTATGAAACAGAGACAGAGACGGACACAGACCGAGAGAAAGAGACAGAGAGAGGACAGAGAAATAGAGAGAGAGGGACAGAGACAGAAACAGACACAGAGACAGAGAAAGAGAGAGAGACAGAGAAGGACAGAGAGAGACAAAGAGAGAGACACAGACATGGACAGTCACTGAGAAAGAGAGAGAAACAGAGAGACAGAAACAGAGAGAGAAGGACAGAGACAGAGAAAGAAACACAGAAGGGGCAGAGAGACAAAGAGAGAGATAGACAGAGTTACAAACAGAGACAGATTCAGAGACAGAGAGACAAAGAGGGACAGAGACAGAGAGAGGACAGAGAAAGAGAGAGAGAGGAAGAGAGAAACACAGTCACAGAGAGAAAGGGACAGAGAGAGGACAGAGAGACAGAAACACAGAGACAGAGGGAGAAAGACAGAGAGAGACAAAGAGAGAGAGACAGACACAGACACAGACACGGACAGTCACTGAGAAAGAGAAAGAGACAGACAGAGACAGAGAGAGAAACACAGGAGGGGCAGAGAGACAGAGATAGAGATAGACAGACAGACAGAGTCACAAACAGAGACAGATTCAGAGAAACAGAGAGGAACACAGAGACAGAGACAGAGACAGACAGATGGGTGTCAAATGTCCTACCTGAACAGAAGGTACTTCTGCAAAGGCTTTCCTAAAGTCATCCTCATCCACAGCGCCGGCACCACCTTCTTTGGATGCACCTGGGAAAAAGCAGAGCGAACGTCCTTTAAGAGCCCATGACAGTCGGAGCTCTTCCCAGCAAGTGCCCTTTCCGAGGCAGTCTGCCTCAGCCTTGAGAGGGCCCAGGACTCCTTCTGACACACGATCTGGCAGGATTCTTCCAAGGACGGATTTTTCCTCTGTGCTAGGCCTGAGCGGAGGAAGCTGAGAAAGTGGCCAATCTGGCAGCCACCCTTCGGAACTGCAGAAACAGCGTATTGTGGACACTGGCAGGCAGAAACTCTAGGACAATAATGAAACAGTACACAACCACAGCATAAAAGAGCTTCCAATGGGAGTGCAGGTCAATCAACCAATCAAACAACATTAATTAAGCGCCTACTATCTACCAAGCCCTGCGCCAAGTGCTAGGGATAAGACAGTTCTGCCTTCAAGAAACTCACAAGCTAACAAATACACACAAACAAGCTCTATCCAGGATCATTAGGAGATAAATACCAGAAGGAAGGCTTCCCATAGGAGGCGGGATTTTGGTTGGGACTTTAGAGCAAAGAAACCCTTCCACGCACAACAGACAGCGGGAGCCAAGAGGCTTGGACCATGGGACGCAACCTGGGGCTGGCAGGAGGCCCCTGACCCCCTCGAGGCAGGATTTGTGTGGGAAGGGGGAGGTGAGGAAGGGCCAAGGCCAAAGCCATGTGGAGGCCACAGGAGAGAGGCCCTGAAACCAGGGATTTTGGCCAAGGATAAGGAGGGACAATGGATGGACTGATTTATCAAGTGCTGACTCTGGACCAAGCACTTTACAAATATTATTTCATTTGATGCTCACAACAACTCTGAAAGGTGGTACTACTGTGACCCCCACCCATTTTAAAGATGAGGAAACTGAGGCAGACAGACATTAAATGACTTGCCCAGGGTCAGCTACGAAGTATCTGAGGCTGGATTTGCATTCAGGTCTCCCAGGGCACTACCCACTGAGCCGCCCACTCAATCCCCAAGTGCCAGGCGGCAGGGGGCACAGCCAGAGAGGCAGAATGGGCAGAGTCTGGCCCTCCCCCAATCTGAACACGGAGCTAGAGGTGGAGAAGCACACAGAAGAGAGGGGATGGGGTGCGGAAGTCCCACAAGAGGAGAGGGACGGGCCCAAGGACAACAGAGAGTGTCCACGAGAGACTGGGAGGCACCAAGGAAGACAGAAAAAGGGAAAATGTTACCTCTCAAGGAAAAAATGGAAGAATCAGCTTAAAATAGAAGGTCAAGAGCCTTACCCAAGGGGGGACTCTCTGGAAAATAGAACAGAGGAAACAGAACTCAGTGACTCCACAACCTAAGAAATATTATAATAAGGCCAAGTATTAGAAAAAATAGAAGAAAAGAGAAGGCTTTGCGATGAAAAATGGAACTGGATGAGAGGTCAAGGAGAGATCATTGAGGAATCACTGGACTCCCTGAAAACAGTGACCAAACCCAAAGGCTCTGGGCACCCTGACTTAAGAAATCATAAAAACCCCACAGATGGATCAGAGCCAAGTGACAAGATCCATCCATCACCTCCTGAAAGAAACCCTGGATTGAAAACCCAAGCCCAGAGCTTCTAAGTCAAAGAAGAGATGGCCCAAGGGTCCAGCAAGAGCAAGGGAGGAGGGCCGGAGGAGTAGGCCCAGCTGAGGCCATTCCAGGTCCCAACTCTGATGGAGGGCATCCAGGGAGCAGAAAGGACTGAAAAGAGTTCAGAGTAGGGCCTGGAGGGGAATTTATTATGCTTCAAGTGAATTCGGAAAAAATGGGGAAGAAGCCATCAGAATCTGAGACAAGGGCTGCACTCTGATTAAAGGCAACACAGATAATGAGATAACATCGATCCTGACGATGGAGCTCCCAAAGGACTGTGATGAAAGAACCTCGCTGCCCCAACGATGAGGCGGGAGAAGACGGCTCTCCCCGCTCCCTGGTCCAAGGAAGGGCCTGGAAGGCCAGGGTTCCTCCAGGTGCTCAACAGTTTTGTAGACTTTCTCACTCTCCTGTGCCTCTGTTGAAGGCACGACGCTGGTAGCAGAGAAGGGAAGAGATACAGGTGAACACTAGACAGAGTGCAAGCAAAGGATGCCAATGGACATCTACTATTAAAAATTACCAACAGGAGTGGGAGGAGAACATGGGACAGCAAGCTTCAAGGAGCCCTTCCAGAGACAAGGAAGAGAGGGAGGACATGAACAGAAGTGCAGTGAAGTCAATCAATAAGGAACAGACACATTCTCACCTGCACAAGGCAATCCGGGAGGGGAGAGAAAGCTCATGCCGGGGAACAAAACCCTCTTTAGCAAATGCATGACAGCACAAACAATATCAAACAGGCGGCAATTATCAACAAAAAGAGCACTTGAAGAAAGAATTCAAACCAATGTAGACTTCTTCATATAGAATGTGTGAGAAAATACCAAGTCGTAGAAATAACAATTATTTTTATCAAAAATGGCAAAAGAGACAACACATGAAAACTCTGGGATGTGAGCAGAGTTTGCCAAATGCCTTGGGAAAACGTGTCTCTGAACGTTTCATGATCCTTGCCTAGATCCCCCCCGCCCCGTGCCGGCCCTCCGCGCACACTCCTGGGCCTGCCACAAGTCCAGACTGGTCGCCCCTGGCTCACCCCCAGCCCCTCTCCTCTCTGTCCCCACGCCCGGACCTGAGGCGGCCAGCTGATTGACTGCGGAGGCCACACTTCTACGATCTCACCCCATCGCCGAACTCCATCTCAGTGATCTTGACCCCACACTGTCGCAGCATACAACCCACCTGCCACCCCTGGCCCCTGTTCTCTTGCTCCCGTCGCCCCCCAAAGCTCCCTGCCCCTGCCTTGGCACATCACAAACCTTTTCCTCTGACTCCTCCTGCCCAGCACTCGGCACAATGGCCTCCCCTCCCCCCTCCCCAGCTGCACTGATCTCATTGCTCATGTCCTGGCTCCCCTGCCCCTGCCACTGGCCCCATGTCTACCCCCCACTCAAGACTGCTCTATGAACTGAGCACCCGGCTCACAATTTCCCCTTCCCACACAGCTCCTGGCCTCACACTGCGGGACCGCCACTGAGTCTAACCCCTTCCAGTTCCTTGCCTTGCTCCCATCCCACTGACAAGCTGATGAGCATGGATGAAGGTCGGCTGCGATTTCCCAAGCAAGTTTCCGCGAGGGCAGAGCTGACCGGCTTCCCACGGGAAGCCTTGCTTGGGGGTCTTCCTTCTGAAAGTACCTCCCACTTACACGTCACAGATAATTTTCTCTTAGCCTCACACGATACTGGTGGCAGGGGCCGCCCTCACTCCAATTTTACAAGTGAGGAAACTGAGGGAGACTGAAGTTCGGGGAGTTGCCCAAGGCCACTCAGCTAGCAGCTGTGACCACTGCACCACCGAGCTTTCTGCATCTACCTGGGGGTTTGCCTCCTGTCTCGCTCATTAAGAGCGCCATTAAGGGCACGGACTGTTTTTGCCTTTCCTGGCACCCCTAGTCTCAGCACCTGCTTACTGACTGAAACAAAAGGGACTCTGGGGCACAAATTCAGGCAAGGGCAATGGGACTGTCAAACCAATGTGAAATGGAAAGGAGTCCCTCCGTTCCAGTGATACAGACTGAGGCTGGGTGGGCAGGAAACAAGCACTTCTTAAGTGTTTCCTGTATGCCTTATTATCTCATTGGATCCTCACAAAAACACCGGAACGTAGACGTTGAGACGATCCCCGTCTGACAGCTGAGGAAACTGAGGTCAGCAGACGTGCAGCCACCCCTCGGCTGCCTCTGTCGGGAGCAGAGCTTTGCTTATACATCTGGAAAGAGAGTGGAAGCCCTTATGTAAGGCCTGGCTAAGTGCCCAAGTCGAATCGAGTCCTGGAGGCCCCAGGAAGCCACAAGGGTCGGCAAGAACTACCAAACCCCGCCTCCTTCCCCCGCCACTGTGCCTGGGAGGCCAGGAAACAAGTGGTCCTCTGAAGCCATCCGACAGATCCAAGCCTGGCACCAGAAAAGAAAAGAAGAAGAGGCTGGCCTGGCCTGTTCTGGGTGGAGCTCAGCATCTCTCCCAAGATGGTAACAGGCCCCCTCTCAAAGGAGCCCTTGCAAAATTTCCCCAAGATTCTAGGGAGATGCCCACTGGACTCCAGCTCCAGCTCCAGGAATCAGCTCTCTGCCCTTCTCCAGGTCAGTTGTGTGGCCCCTTTACTCTGGGTATTGTCCATCAATATGGGCACTGTGGAAAAGGAATTTGGAGCAATGCAGAGAACCCAACCGTAACACTTTTCCCATCACCCAGGCCGGCCCTCCACAAGCCGGCAGCTCCAGCTTCCTCCCTGTTCCAGGGACCCAACTCTGTGCATCTTCACCGGCTGATCGACACAGGAGCAAAGCGAGGATGCCCATTCCCCGCTTTATTGTTTGATAGAAGGTTGGTAATGTCAGCAACAGCAGTAAGTCAAGAGAAAGACATTAATGGCATCGAGGCAGGCAAAGAAGAGCCCAAATGAGGAGATGTGCCAATGACGTGGTAGTCTGCTTAGAAATCCTACGCCAATATTGTGCAACGACTGACTTTGATAGCCTTAGCTCTTCTCAGCAATGCAAGGATCCAAGACATCCTCAAAGGGCTCATGATGGAAAATGCTGTCCACATCCAGAAAAATAACTACAGAGTCTGAATGCAGATCGAAGCATACCATCTGCTGTCTCTCTCTCATTTTGTTTCTTCTTTCCTGTGGTTTCTCCCATTGGTTCTAATTCTTCTTTACAATATGGTTAATGTGAAAAAAGATTTAATACGAAAGTACATGTAGGGCCTACATCAAATTGCATGCTGTCTTTGGCTGGGGGGAGGGGAGGGATGAGGAGAAAATTTGGAACTCAAAATCTTATGAAAGTGAATGTTGAAAACTAAAAATAAATAAATTTAAAAATAAAAAAAAATTTAAAAAGGAGGGACAAAAAAAAGAAATCCTAGGCAATCAGCAAAGAAACAGAGATAGT